TAGGTGTAGAGTCAGGATTAGAGTCAGGTTGAGGGGGTTAAAAAGTGACACAACCAAAATTTAAATACCTTTAATATTAATACCTTGATTGTCTCACCTGTCTCCCCCCCCCCCCCCACAGAACCTACTCACCACAACTTGAGTAAGAGGAATAAGCTACCTCACATTTAATCTTTTCAAAAGGATATACAAAAACCGTAGTCGAATTTTATATTTAGTATTAAGGTTTTATTGACACTCTATGAGAAATAAATTGAGAAAGATTATGCTTATATTTTTTGCGATCTAAATGCTACCGTAAAATTTGATATATTTTTTAAAAGTCTACAATATACATGGGACGGCGTGGCCTAGCAGTAGAGCGAGTTCGAATCCGGTTCAAGTCATTAGAGCGTCCCTGAGTCAACCCAGCTCTGAAGAGTACCTAACTCACGTTAAGAAAACTAAAAGGCGGCTGGGCATAGTGCTTACCACACTATCCTTTCATATACCGAAGTCATATAAAGTCATATAAACAGGTGAACTCTACTTCACTTGCCCCATGGACCGTCAGGTTCGAAAAGGCAACTTAACTTTTGCTTAACTATAACTCCACATAAAAAGTATGAGTTACAAAGTCGAAGCCTTTTATCATGAAACGTCATTACGAAAAAAAAAAAGAGATCTTAATCACTTGATCCACTATATTAACCATCTATTTAAAAAAAAACATCGCTGAGTGTAATCTATTGACTTAAGTTCGCATACTCGTTATGTTCGTAGTTTTCGCATTCATTATACTATGGTGAGGGGCGAGGAGGAGGGATTCACATGGTTAATTTTAGCCTGAAACGTTACGCGTTAAAAATAAATTACCACCTCGGCCCCCGACTGTTTCGATTGAGAGTATTACAACCCTAGTACCAACAGCTGAGCGAACGATCGTCTGTCGGTCTGATTACGTCACGAGTATTGGCTGTGCTGGCCAATCGCGGCCCGGCTAACAAAAAAAAAAAAAAAAAATGGAGCGTTCACCGTGTCCATATATGGGATAGCGTTTGTTTTGGTTGGGGTGGGTTAACTTGTTCTTCGCGGGGGCGTAGTACACACACGAGGGGGGGGGGGGGGGGAGACGACTGTTGCTGTCTGTGGTGGACTGTGGTTATGTGGTGTAGTTATGTGTGGGGATTATGTGTATGGTTATGTGTGGCTATTTTGGCTAGTTTGCGTGCTTATGTGTAATCATGTGTTGTTTTAGTTTTTGGTGCGATGTTGTCTAATTAGTATGAATAATATCTAGGACATTTGGGGGAAAAGAGGAGAAGGGAAAAAAATGGGGGGGGGGGCGACAAGTTATGGAGATTTGTCAATTAATTCATATAATCATATAATGAAATGTGTGTTATTATCATTCACAATGTGAGCCGGTTATAAATTCAACAGATCTCTTTATTGCTATTGAGTAATGGGGCCATTGATAAATATACTATAAATAAGCAACTTTTTATCACTGTGAAAGTAATGTAGTTATACATTATAGTGAAATGTATATTAATTATCGTTTAGCTGGTTCATACACCGATATCGTAGTATCGCATATTTAATTAAGGGTGTGTATCCTTTAACTGGATATCGTAGTATCGCACCGCGTAACGATACGGTGGTATCGCTGACATAATTACCCACGAGTACCAGTTGACCCTATAACAATTTTGACAGATGGGTTAATGTAAACTTTGGCATATTTCGTCGTGGGGAGCATCGGAGCATCATTGATCTGTGTATCTAATGTTGCGTGTTTGCAACATGCCGCATCCATGTATCAGTCAATATACAGCGAGGGAGAGGGGCTGCATAGGCGGATCTATGCGGTGGGCTGGATGCATATATAAATATATTAGGGGCGGGTGGGGGGGGGGGGCTTGACCTTTATGTCCATCCCGCGAAAAAAAAAACAATGTATACACTTATAAAATTGCATATGAACAAAATATTTGTTCACTTTTGATAGTCCTAGTTTGTCTTTAGTTTTTCCCCGAGGGAGGATACTGTGGGCCGAGTGGCTGCACTTTTTTACCCCCCCCCCCCCCCCCTGTTGTCAAATTCTTTTCCGAAAATTCCTCCCCCCCCCCCCACCCCTCTGCCCCACCCCCCGCATAGATAAAAGGTAAACAACACAACTTTTTGACAAGCATTTGATTGCGAACGACGATTCTCACGTCTGACTAACACTACCCTCTTTACCTAACAACAATCACATTTTTATATCCTTTACTATTTGTGAGATTTTTTCGGGGGTTTAAAAATCACCTATTTAAAAAAGTTCACACGCATCAAACTTAGGACACTGTACAATACAACGACACATACCCTTCTACACAACAGTACCCATCTTTCATAGGCGTGCTATACCTCCCCCCCCCCTACCAATTCAGACAGTATTTCTCACGTTTACCTACCTACACATGGGGCAGACGACCGTAGCAGGTCCCCGAAAAACCTTTTATTGTCAAACAGCGACCGCTGGGGTGCGTGGTCGTGAAATATTTTCAAAGCGCAACCAGAGCGGAACGGGGGACCTCGATTTCACCAAACGCTATTCGCCACAAGTGGCAGGGGACACGACTCTCGCTGTCGTCACTGTGCTGCGTTGGGTTTCGGTATATTCCGGATAAGACCGGTTTTCGTGGCCTATTGGCGATAGGTATGTTTTTAAATTTTGCATTTGAAAAAAAAACGCACGATCTTTTTTTTTTCTTTTTTTTTTTTGGTTAGTTTTTATTATTATTCAGATTTGCGTAGGGAAAATGCCGAACTGGTTTGTGGGAAGTATGTTAGGGGGCGTGGTATGTCAATAGGTCTTTCTCATTACTATTACTAACAGTTATCATACTCAGTGTTTCTTCCAGACTTTTTTCTCCGGGGGGGGCACTTGAAATCTTCGGGGGGGGCGGTAAACTTTCTTCGGGGGGGCGGACACTGTTAAAAGTATATATTTTCTATATAAATTATATAAATTTCATTTCGTTCGGGGGGGGGGGGGGGGGCGGTAGAAATTTTTCGGGGGTGCTTCGCCCCCCCGAAGAGATGCCTGGAAGAAACTCTGATCATACTGATTTTTAATGCGTTTTTTTTAATCTAAAAAAAGTACTATGCTTTCTTAAAAGCATGTATTAATTAACAAGTTTTGAAAGTGACATGCCCTTAACATATCCCCCACTGCACTAGAACGCCGGTTGCCCCCCCCCCCCTTAGGTCAAAGGTCGTCGACTTGAGCTTTACAATCGTCCTATTTTTAAACTAGTATCTTCGACTAACTATCCGCTGCTTCATTGAAATCCTTCCAAAAATTATTACAATTTTGGGATGCAAAGATACTGATTGTAAAATAATATTTCTCACAGTTTCATGCATTTTGAATGTTAATCTGTCATATCTCAAAAATGGTATTTTTTTTAAAAAGATAGATCTAGACCCCGTCGTCAACTTAGCTTAAGTTGGTCACAATGTTTGCCTAGAGTGAAGCTACTTCAGGGCAGGCCACATCTCTGACCATCCACCACTCTACACCCCCACCGCTCCTCTCTCACTTTCTTATTTACTGCCCAAATAATCCACGCTAATTAATGAAACGCTCATTAACTATCGCACCCACCCCCTCTCAAGTCTTACAGTTTCGCCGTATCAGAACCAGATCCTGCTCCTTGGCCAGAACAATAGAACACATGCCAAAACATTCCTTAACAACGTTACTTTAGTTGTTTTTTTTTTATTTGGCAGGCCTGTTTTAAGTGCTATGTATTTGGGTAGGTGGGGGGGGGCGTATTTTACTTGATATGTCTGCTAAAAAAATCTTTTTGACATGGTTGTACTGAGAAAAAAATTACTATTACACTGCCTCTTCTACCTTTATATCCCGTTTAAGGTTTCAGAACTAGAATATCTATAATAATAGTTTCGCTGTCTGTGTATGTATCTATCTATCTGACAAGAACGCTCTGTCTGACAAGAACGCTCTAGAGAAAACATAAGAAAAAATTCTATCTGACAAGAACGCTCTAGAGAAAACACAAGCAAAATAAAAACATGCACAGTAATTCGAAAAACGAAATATGACGTCGACACATTTAGCACAGAGTAGAAAATAATCTCAAACCCAGAGAGTGCTCACAGTTATATGACGTCATTGATTTTCGCGTTAACATTGAATAAAAAGGAAATGTTGTCTAATCTTAATGGTTTGCGTGAAGAGTTTCTTGCATACAATTCTTCGGGTAGGGGCGAAGCCCCACCCCACGCGTAAGAACGTCTGAGCCCCCCCCCCCTCCCCAACTCAAAAGAAATTTCTTCATCGATACTCTATAATAAAATTACCGCCTAATTAATGTGTCTAATCTAAAAAGTGGTTTTCTTGCAATTTCTTTAATGCAATTCTTCGGGTAGTGGCTAAGCGCGACACCAGTGTTTCTTTCAGACTTTTTCCTCCCCGGAGAGAGGTGGGGGTAATTGAAATTTTCGGGGGCGGGGGTAGAATTTTCGGGGAGGGGGGCGGACACTGGAAAAAGTATATAATTATATTTCGTTGAATGGGACGGTAGACATGTTTTTTTGGGGGTGGGGGGGGGTGTGTGGGGGGGTAGGGGTGGTTTCCTCATCGATACTCCATAATAAAATTACCGCCTAATTAATGTGTCTAATCTAAAAAGTGGTTTTCTCGCAATTTCTTTAATGCAATTCTTCGGGTAGTGGCTAAGCGCGACACCAGTGTTTCTTTCAGACTTTTTCCTCCCCGGAGAGGGGTGGGGGTACTTGAAATTTTTGGGGGCGGGGGTAGAATTTTCGGGGAGGGGGCGGACACTGGAAAAAGTATATAATTATATTTCGTTGAATGGGACGGTAGACATGTTTTTTTGGGGGGTGGGTGGGGGTGGGGGTGGGGGGGGGGTGTGGGGGGGGTGGGGGTGGGGGGTGGTGTGTGTGTGGGGGATGGGTTGGTTTTAGTTTAGAGAAAAGAGACAGCACTATCAACCTAGCGCCCGGTGTATCCTTCCTCAACGGGCCATTTTTCTCGTACAATGAATGTTTAAACATTTTTTTCCCTTCTTAATTTTGATACGCCGTGTATGACGTCACCGCCGCCGTCACGTGACCCGGTAACCAGGCAACGGGGAAGCGCCAGACGTTTAAAAATGTTAAACTTGATTCTTTTTGCACCTGTGGGGGGAGCTTAAATTTGAACCCGAACGTTTTATCACAGCGTGGGGGTCTGGTGATGAACGAGCTACAGCACCAGACTCATTTGGATTGTATCAAACCTTGGGTTCCCTTTAACAAACAGTGTTTCTTTCAGACTTTTGTTCTGTGCTCTCCGGGAAGGGGAGCACTTGTAATTTTCGGGAGGGGGGGACAGTGGTAAAAGTATTTATTCTTTATATAAATTATATTTCGTTAGGGGGTGATGAGGCGGTAGACCCCCCATCCCTCCCCTAAGAGACGCCTGAAAGAAACAGTGCTAACAAATAACAATGTGGTTTGTGTTTTAGCCACGATGAGCCACCTATGTAATGATGTGGTGAAAACGAAGCGTTGTTCTTTTAAAACACGGGTTATTAATTCTTGAAATAATACTTATTTGAAATACTTATGTTTTTTTTTAATTAAAAAAAAAGAAATTGGTCACGTTTTTAATTACGTCTTATAGTTATGTTAAACCTGGATTTCTGTTATAGATGTTTAGTTGGTTATTGCTGGTAACCCAGAATACATCCAGAGTTTCTTCCAGGCATCTCCTCGGGGGAAATAGAATTTATATAGGAAATATACATCTGTAACCCTAGCCGTTACTTTTATTCTAAGAGACACCCCCCCCAAACTCCCGTACCAATCACATTTTCGACATTCTAGACGATTGGGTATGGAAACTATGCAGTCGATGTTGGCGCTTTACTTACATCGGGGAGACCCCGCGAGCTTTGCACGTAAACGAAAGTTCGCGCCTAAATGAGTACGGTCTCCGACCCTCGGCTACTGAAGTTAACTAAACCCAGTTTTTGGACGACCCCGAGATACGGTCAGCCAAGGCCCACACTCTGAAAAGTGTCATGATACAACATTCTGAAAGTGTCGGAATACAACTCTCCTAAGAGCGTCGTGCTAACGCCGGCGAATAACCAGCTAGCACAACGCTATTAGGAGAGTTGTATTCTGACAAGATAGCCGGCGAATAGCCAGCTATCTCGCCGAAAAGAGTCTGAATACAATTCTCCAAAGAACGTCGTGTTAGCACCGGCGAATAGCCAGATAGCCGGCGAATAGCCAGAGAAGCGAAAAAGCTAGCTAGTCGGAAACAAGCCATCTAGCCATCAAATAACCAACTAGACGAAGAATAACCAGCTTTCCGACGAATAGCCAGCCAGCCGATGTATAGCTAGCCAGCCGACGAATAGCCAGCTAACACTCCGACCTACGCCAGAACATTCCTGGCCAACGAATCTACGCTCGACTGATAACTCGTCCAGTCTCCAAAATGCTCGCGCACTGGCATAATTAGATCGAAAAACTAATGAGTCACCGACGCTAATTAAAGACCGGCGCGAATGGAGGTAATTAACTGCGCAAGACGAGAGCCGTTAGCTCACTGTGGAGTAGCTGGTGGTTTCTCTGTTAAGTGTATCCTTAATCAAACGATATAAAAAAACTGTTTCAGTAACATCTAACATACTGCAACTTGTAATACTTTTTGCAGCCAGTTAGTCCAGTTGAATAGCCAAGCAGGACCCATCGACATTGCACAATGACCATGTCTAAGGGCTAGACTGTGTCAAAGTTCAAAATTCAAATATTATGTTTAGACATAGTGGATAGTAGAGTTTTTTTTTTTGTCTTTTTTTGGGGGGGGGGGGAGTGAGGATACGTGTAGAAGGGAGATGAAAATATATATAGATGTAGATCTAGTGTTCAAATGTGTGCTTGTTATGCTACATCATCAGTTACCAACTTTCATGAACAGCGCTTCAACAATCCCCAAGAGTTTTGTGAGCTACAGGGAATTTCCGATTTATAAAAATAAACCAAAAAAAAAAAAACAGTAGATCTAGCCATGAACTCTTGTGACCAGATCAATTTATTTATTTATTTTTAAAATTATTTTTGGCAGTTTTTATCTCACTCATCAAGGCTAGTGGACACTGGGTGGTTTAATCAACTGACCAACAACATCTGAACCTAAGTCATTCAGCCCAGGCCTACACTTCTAATGATACCGTTCATATTTATAAATATTCGGAAAGGCTTCATTTATTTTTAAAAAAAAACTGTCATATTCTAAGAAACAAGCATGTTTATTTTTTGCTCATATCAAAATGTGCTTCACTGTGCCAAGGCAGAAATTGTTTTTTTTTAAGCCAAGACGAAGGTTTTTTGGACTTTTTGAAGACATCTCAAAAACAAAATTAAAAAGTTGGCTCTGTCTTTCATTGGAAATTTAAAATGTTGATCCGATTTACCTTGACAGCCATCGTGTGTAGAACTCAAAACCCGAGTACTGAGTACACTTCAGGTGTATGTGTGTTCTGTTGGTCAGTGTTGGTGGAGGGTGGGGTATATATTATGGGGGTATGTGTGTTCTGTTGGTCAGTGTTGGTGGAGGGTGGGGTATATATTATGGGGGTATGTGTGTTCTGTTGGTCAGTGTTGGTGGAGGGT